CTGGATAACATTTGTTAAGTTCAAGGCCATTGGAAATTGTACCTCTTATTTTCATTTTTATGTAAAAATGAATTTTTAGCAAAAATGAAAATAAGAGGAATAATCTTCAATGGCCTTGATCTTGACAAATGTTATCCAGGACATGATCCTAAACAACATTCAAGAGATTTTAATCATCGGTCGGACAACTTGAGTAATGCTAATGACGACTGTACTGTAACTTTCGAGCCTTCTAACTCGAAAAATACTTAATGAAAAAATATTTTATTATATAGTGTTTTGAAAAGCTCACGAGGTAAGCTACAAGAAAATGTAATAAAAAATTTTTTAAATTCCATTTAAAAAACTAATGACCTTGACCTGATTTTGACAAGGTTACTCAAGGTCAAGTCCACATTTCCATCATGTGTCCCCCTACAAGTCATGCAATTTTCGTTCGAAAAATTTTTCAATAAAATCATCGATTCGCGAGATAATCGACCATATCACTTAAAATGAAACACCCTGTGTATGTGTGTATGTATATATATATATATATATAATATATATATATATATACAGGGTGTTAGTATGTTGCCATACTCAACAGAGCGATTCTTTGGTTTATTTCAAGTAAAAAAGTCCATATAAACATGTGTCCTAAACGGCTTAATTTCCGAAATACAGGTGAATGTTCGCAAATGTTTGACGAAACGGTAAATTACATTAGAAATATCTTCCTGCATAAATATGCCTTGCTTCACGTGAGTTACCATTTGCATAACCGTAGACAAAGTGATAAAGTCAAAGTCACAAAATCAAAAATAGACTTCAGTTCTGATCTTTGAGCGTGTACGTCAATCTTTGAGAAGAAGGCTCGATGGATGTCATGGCTCAAGGTGGACATTTTCAACAATTCATCTAATCGTTTTATTTCATCAGAAGAACTGGCTTTATCCTGTAGGTTAAACAAAGACACCTATCGTATATAGGTCGCGGACTAAGCGCACGGTGTAAACGTAACTACTGAAGCCTGTTTTTTGTTTTTCTGTTTTTAACTAGTTTTTGACTAGTTCAAGCTATATTTCTTTCAAATAAACAGATTATTACTACACGTTTAAATTTTTTTATTTCGGAAACTAAGC